TAACCACAAATTTAAAGTGCATGGCATCTAATGAACATAATAAAAACCTACTAAATAATAACTATATGCTTAGGTGACATCTATCCTCCATCTGTCCTCTACATAAGGGGTCAGGATACAATAGACCACAGGCCAAATCCTGCCTACCATATGTTTTTTCTCAACAAAGTTTTATGAGAGTACAGCCATGCCTATTCACAGACATGCTACCTATGACTGCTTTCACACTATAGTGGCAGGGTTGAGTAGCTACAATAGAGACCACATGGCTTATGGATTGCTTAAATCGCCTTTGAAAAAAGAGAGAGACCACATGGCCTAAAATATTTCCTACTTAGCCCTTTAGAGAAAAAAAGTTTGCCAGTCCCTACTTTAAACCATGAATAGAATGCCCTAATTCTCAAATCTAATCTAACGCCTTCCCTGCTCACAATTTTCCAATGAATTCCTGTAGCAAACACTACTGGCTCCCTACCCAAGAGCAATTCCTTATTGTTTCTTGCTGGAGAAACACAAATCTATTTGGTTATTTATTATCGCAATACCCCTCCCCAGCTTCAAAAGAGAAATGATTATTCTAAGCTAATTACATAATTACATTTGCCTTCCCAGTGCCTGGTTCAGGGATGAGCATATGGTATGACCCAGCCAATAAGATAGTAAAGGAAGGCCACTGCATGCTTGTGAGTTTTCTCTCAATAGGTCTTCTAGTATTTGCAGCCAAAAGCATTCTATCTGAGAAGTTTCTCTTGGCCTACAGGATAAGATCTACTCATTTCTATACTATTAAGATTCTTTTATTAAACTTGTTTCTAGACACAGGTAAAACAACAACAACAAAGTCTTTCTTAAGCTTGCCTTCACTGGCACATACTGAACATAATAAATACATAATAAATAATAACTAAAAGCTATTTTCACCCAATTCCCAATCACTCCCATATACTTTTTTTACACTAGTAAATCTGAACTGCTGATAAACTCTATAAAGTTCACTCAGGTGTCCTACCTTTCGAACTTGCTCCTCCTCTTTTTAAAACTTTCATCTTCATGGCTGCTGCGTCTGTCAAATATGTAAGCTTGTTAGATCTTTCTTCTGCCAAGCATCATCCCTCTGCCTCCTTACCTGGCAAAGTTCCACTCACTCTGCATGCTTACTCTAAATTCTACCCACATTTTAGAAGCTTGCATTCATCACTACAAATGTAAAAATGCCTGGCACATATTGAACATAATACATACATAATGATAACTATAAGCTCCCAGATGACATCGGGTTCAGAGTAAGCACTACATAAGAAAGTAAATAAAATAAATGACAATGGTAACAACAATCTCCTAACCATATTTTTAAAATGTATTTTGTAATATTGGAAAAATGCTTAGTCCATAAAAGACACATGATAGTTATTAAGTGGACAAGTATATGAATGAATATTTTTCTTAAAAATTCAGTAGGAAAAATGCAAAAGTTAAATAGTTGTCTGTATTCTATTATAAGCACCTTAAAGACAAAAAACTATGTCAATTTCATCTTTGTCTATTGCAATTTGCCAAACTTAACTTATAGAAATGGTTTGACACATATGCACAAAATTTAAGGTGTCTTTATATAATTCAGATTGTTATTGTGAACCATTTTTATAATTTTGTTATAATTTTTTGAGCCTAGAGTTTGGCTATTGGAATATTTATTATGATCATCTTTTGCCTAATGATAACAGAGTATCTTTTTTTTTTCAGATGAAGTCGTGCTCCTATGTCACCCAGTACAGTGGCACAATCTCAGCTCACTGAAATCTCCACCTCCTGAGCTCAAGCAATGCCTCTGCCTCAGCCTCCCAATTAGTTGAAATTACAGGTGCCTGACCCAGTGCCTGTATTTTTAGTAGAGATGGGGTTTCACCATGTTGGCCAGGCTGGTCTCAAACTCATGGCCTCAAGTGATCCACCTGCCCCAGCCTCCCAAAGCGCTGAGATTACAGGCATGAGCCACCACGCCCAGCCTGGTAACAGAGTATTTTTTCCAACAAAATCACTATGACTGTGATAATTATCCAGCACATATTAAAAGAAAAAAGCTTGTTCTAAGAAGTGAATATATCTCATGAGGTTCCCACTTATGGAGAATGAAGTAAAAAATAGACCTTGTTTATATAAGAATACATAACTTCTGCTTCTTGGAAAGGAATTAATTTTCAGTCTTCAGAATTCAATAGGTATCTTCAAAAGCAATCTTCTATTTGTATGGATGTACACTGTTTTATGATTATTATTCATATTTGTTTATGGTATCAGAAAGAGATTGTTGAGTTCCCAGTTCTAAAGATAGTTACTTTCTTAGTGACAAAAATTCCTGTGTAATACAGTTGACCCTGGAATAACAAGAATTTGAACTGCAGGGGTTCACTTATATGCAGATTTTTCTTCTGCCTCTGCAAACCAGAGACAGCAAAACTGAACTTTTTTCTTTCTCTTCAGCCTAATCAACCTGAAGATGATGAAGATAAAGACTTTTGGGAGGATTAACTTATGCTTTATGAATAGCAAGTATATTTTTTTCTTTTCTATGATTTTCTTTATAAAAGCTTCATTTTTCTAGCTTATTTTATTGTAAGAACATAACATATAATAATATAACACACACCAAATATGTGTTTATCACCTGTTTATTTTATCAGTGAGGCTTCCAGTCAATGGTAGACTATTAGTAAAGTTTGGAAGGAGTCAAATTTTCTCAGATTTTCAACTGCACAAGTGTCAGAATCTCTAACTCCCACGTTATTCAAGAATCAACTGTAATTAATATTAATTTACTAAATACAAACCACTTATAAAAATTAAATAGAAAATCCATTTGCATAACAAGTCTAATTTGTAATAATGTGATTATAGAGAAAAATACAACATACTAACTTAAAAATCTAATTTTTAAATTTATATTAATACAAAAACATCATGTAGAATTTCAGGGATCATAAGTAGGTAAATAAATTTTTTTCAGACAATACTGTTTGAGATTATAAATTACCTACAATTAACTTCTTAAATAACTCTAAATTCTAAACTATAGAAATTAAATTAAAAATATATATATACACACAGATTTTTTAAAACTGCTCTTTGATAATTAAAATTATGTAACCTTACTTTTATTATTTTTTTTTTTGAAGATAGAATCTTGCGCTTTTATCCAGGTTGGAGTGCAGTGGTGCGATCTCAGCTCACTGCAACCTCTAACTCCTGCATTCAAGTGATTATCCTGCCTTAGCCTCCCAAGTAGCTGGAATTACAGGCACCCACCACCACACCTGGTTAATTTTTGTATTTTTAGTAGAGATGGGGTTTTGTCATGTTAGCCAGGCTGGTCTCAAAACTCCTGACCTCAGGTGGTCCACCCAACTTTGCCTCCCAAAGTGCTGGAATCACAGCCTTGAGCCACCATGCCAAGCCTGTAATCTTAGTTTTTAAAATCAATAAGACCACCAAGAAAAATGAGGAATTTACTATGAGAAGTCTTACCTTGATTGTCATTTCAAAGATGATTTTTAAGTATCTTAATGTTCCAAAATTTGTTGTTGAATGCTATACATAATAAAATAAATTAAATTACTATTTTAATAGTAATATAAAAAATTTTACCGAACATAAATTCTTAAAGCATTTCAGACAATATCAGAGCCAATGTCAGAACTCTAATGTCCCATACACTTTAAAATTTTAAGCTCTATACATTTATTAGGCTTCTAATAAAAGAATGAAAACATAAACTACTCATAAACAAAGAGAAGCATAGCTCAGTAAATTAATTCTAGTCAGCTTAACATCCGGGAAAGTGTCCTGCACTCAGAATAAGTCCTCACTCTATAACCAATAGGTGTTTTGTTTTCAGACCAGTTGCTTCTCTTAGGCTCCATGACTTCTTCTAAAAAATAAGGATTTTACTATTTTTCTTCACTAAGCTGAGAGGAGGATGTAATGAGATAACATGTTTAAATATTCCGAAATAGTAAAGCAATGTAATAATTTATTCTTGAATTGGATTGCTGAAATAATCTTGAAATCTCAAAAACTGATGGATGTTTTTTCATAGGTTCTAATATTTGAATTTGAGTTTTTGGAAAATGATATTAAGTGCTAATTTTGATTATTTGTTCTATTCATTGTGGCTTGTAGTTCAGAGCATTTTTGCTAATTCATAACTTGTAACTAAATTTATGTATAAATATATTACCTCATCAAAATAGATTACCTAATTGTCCCCTATTACTGAGCTCATCAATCACACCAAGGGCAGAAAGCTAATAGATGTCAAAACCTGGCCTGGACAACTACCATTTCTTCTCTGTCTACTCAAACTCTGAGCCAGCAGTGTTAGAGGGCTGGATCTTCTTGGTCCTCTCCAACTGACGTACAAGACAAAACCCGGCTTGTATTGTTTTCAGTTCCATAAAACAGAGGCAAGTTGATGCTTCCTTATTTCCAAGTCATGTACTAACAACATATTTGCATGTAACATCCCATATGTTACTCAGTTCTGTTCTCATTTCACAGATCACCTTATCTAAATGTTTCTTCTTTTTTTTCTTTTTTAATTGAGATGAAGTCTCACTCTGTTGCCAAAGCTGGAGTGCAGTGGCATGATCTCCTCTCACTGTAACCTGTGCCTCCAGGGTTCAAGCAATTTTCCTGCCTCAGCCTCCTAAGTAGCTGGGACTACAGTCACATGCCAACATGCCTGGCTAATTTTTCATATTTTTAGTAGAGACAGGGTTTCACCATGTTAGCCAGGATGGTCTCAGTCTCCTGACCTCGTGATCTGCCCACCTCGACCTCAAAGTGTTGGAATTACAGGTGTGAGCCACCGATCCTGGCCCAACATGAATACTTTTATAATAATAATAACAATTTCAATATTGGGAGTCTCCTGTTTTGGTTTGATTCATACTATTTCCCTGGTGCTAGTTAACAAATAGTCAAATGACATTCTAGGGATTGTGCAAAATATGGAATGCTTTATGAATTTGTGTGCCATCCCTGGGCAGCAGATATACTTATCTGTTCTGTAATGATTCAATTGTAGAATATGTACTACTGAAACAAGTATTAAAGCCCTGTTTTATACCTGGGTACTCATGAGCCATGAATAAAGCTTAGCTCTGTTAAATAGAAATTATCTACTTTAGATACACAGAATTTTACTGAATGATTTCCTGTGAGGTAGAGTTTTTAAGTATTTTAAAAACTTGTGGTAGAGATGCAAGTATCCTGAGAGATTTTCATTATTATGGAAACAGATCACTCGATGGGCCAACTGCAAGTTGGTGCCCTCTACTTTATTGAAGGATAACGTGGAACCTTCTGCTATCTCGCAAAGGCTGTTGCATAGGACATAGAAAAGTCTCAAGGTACAGATAACAAAAGGGAAAGGGAACTCTGATCTCTTTCTACAACATTATTAGAACATTCCTGACTGTTGAGTACAATCCCAAATAATACTTGCTAAAGAAAAGATGAACACATGACTCAAAGGATAACTTACCATGAAAGTCTAGGCTAAGCCTAGCTAAGAGGTGGGCCACAAATAACGTATTTAGTGTTGGGGAGGGTCAATTTACTCACTATGTGTGTGGGTAAAGCCTGCAGGCCTTGGCCTCACTGCCTGAGCAGGGTGCTGGGAACAATGGCTGAGCATATGTACATGAACTAAAAAACACTGTAGCTGTGAATTCTGTGTATGAGTCACTGTGAAGACTGAGGAATTTGAATCACTAAAGGCATCCTGGTGGCAAAGGTCAATCATTACCAGATTGAAGGATCAGTTACAATGAAAGCAATACAGCAAGCGAATAAATGGAAACAATGGAATGATTAGAGTGGATTTCTCCCCCTTCTTCTGACTTGTAAAGCAAGACTGTCTTCCTTGGACTTAGAAAATCCCTTAGCTGTTTGAAAAATTCAAAGCAGAAAGGAATAGGAGATAGCCCCAGAGGAAAATACAAGATTTTCTGCTAAACCGGACATTTCAAGACCCAATAACTAATTAGAAAAGTCAGGCCAGGCAAGGTGGCTAGCAGTTTGGGAGGCTGAGGCAGGAGAATCACTTGAGCTCAGGAACATGGGCAACATAGTGAGACCTTGTCTCCAAAAAAAAAAAAAGAAAGAAAGAAAGGAAAAAAAGTAAAAGATGTGACACTATTTATATCTCACATATAGGAGTTATACTTGGAATAAAATGAACAGCATCAAGATCCCTAGGGATAAAGGTTTTTAAAAGTCCTGAAAGAATCTTGCACTCACTGCTACTTATAACTGATCTAGCTTTCTGTTTGATTTCTGGCTAAAAAGTGGACTAACTTGTTGCCATTCCAAACTACCTCAATAAAACTATGAACTGTCACCTAATGTATGGATGCAATATTTTGTAATTATTTTAATTTAGTATTAACTGGTCTTTTAACATAAGCACTTACCTTATCACATCACAACAAATAACGTAATCTTCTGCAGTTTGTCCAAACATATCTTGACAAAAGATGGGAGAAGGCTGACTGTACTTGAAAAGTTATGATGTACAGCAAGCATGAGGGCTGTTCTAAAATAATAAAGAAATAACCCCACTCAAGAACTTTAATAAAGATATTTAACTCGCAAATTTGATACACTTTACCAATTAGTATTTTGCCTGTCAGTATAGACATAATAACCATTTACGTGTTCTAGCTTATGCCTATAAGAATCTTGGGTGCTCAAGTGTTCATCTTTGTAAATTACCACCAAAGCTAAAAGGCAGAGACAACAAAAAAGCCTCTTGTCCCACTGGGATATGACATAATACATGTGTCTAACTTACAATTTTTTGATGTCCAAGAAACTATGCTGAGGTCACTTATCTAAAATAGGCAAAGATTTAGATGAAGATTTCTCCATTGCTTTCCAAGTCTGATATATTGTAATTCAAAGTCAGCTAGGGGTCTGATAAATAAGAGCTATCTGCAGGTTGAAAACAGCAATAACGATAATAATAATAATAGTAGTAGCTGTAAATTGAAAGTTAAAAAATTCAAAGGAGGAAGGCATATGATACCATAATAATGGTAACAGTAGTAGTTGTAAACTGAAAGTTAAAGTCTATGCTTTATAAAATTAATAAAATATGAAACCCTTTTGGCTAATATAAGATTACAGGACCAAAAACATCAGATTACAAAAAAATAGTCTATCAGAGAAAATGAATCCTACTATATACAGTTTTTATATTGCTCAGTCCAAATAATTGCTTTTCTACCTATTGTGTTATTTTTCGCTGTATGCCAATAATTATATGTTAACCTTATCATTAATATTTCTGACTTGAGTGGCTGTTACCACTCTAGAACAGTCAGGTTTTTATTTTTTAAAAAAAGAACTACTGTACCTTTTGAAACTATCAACAGCATGTACATTTGCCTGGTTTTTCACTAAAAATTCCACCATTTGCTGTCTCTTGCAAACTATAGCAAGCAAAAATGGTGTGTTTCCCTCCTGTAAGAAAGCAAAAACAATTTATAATTCATAAAATTACGTATTTCTCAACTGAACTAAAAATCTTCTATAAGATGCTATGAACTTAAACATACAATATAGAAAAAAAGTAAATGCAAAGCAGTCACTTCCTTCTCCCTCCTCTGTGCTTTCCCATACACTGCCTTGCAAACACCCCCAGATTGTTAACCAAATAGAAAATTAGTTCATAGGACTGCTAAAACTAAATTATTAAAAGAATTCCTATTGTATTCTCACTGACTTAATGGGTTTCAGTGTTTAAAACTGACATCCTGATTATGCCAAAGCTCTGTAAACTACAACTTCAACTGAAAAAAAAGAGTTCAGAAACTGCTACTTATCTAATTGAGAAAACCTGACTTGTAATGATCATTTTTTTGACACATAATCACTTGAATCGTGACAACGGAACATGAAATAGTGAAAGGGACTGCCTCTGCTTATTGAAAGATCACCCACAAGCAAATTTCTAGGCTCTCTAAATGACAGTAAATAATTCATGATGAGAAGAAAAAGGGTGTTATTCTGTAAGCTGAGGGATATTACCCATAATATTTCCTTTCACTTCCCAGTCACAGACGTAGAAAGAGACAGATAAGTCAGGCTAATATTATCGGAAAGAAGAACTTTGAAGGAAGTAACCCCTATCAAATGCCAAGTCTTTTAGAGATTTCTTATGGTTTTGAGATATAGGAATTTATACACTGCACTCATCTATTCTGTGGTTCTTAATCAGGGGTATATTCAAATCTAGAGGCGTTTTTTGTTTGTTTGTTTTTGCTGTTGTTGTTAGAGACAAGAGTCTCACTATTTGCTCAGGCTTGACTCAAAATCCTAGCATCAAGCGATCCTCTCACCTCAGCCTCCTAAGTAGCTGGGACAGGGAACATGCCACTGTGAATGGCTTCAAAAATATTTTTAACCATATATGTTCAGGCCTTATTAGATCTATTACATTAAAATCTTCAAGAGAAAGCCTACACTTGTAGAGTTTTTACAAAATTTCCCCGGGTCCCTGTAATGCACAATTCTAGCTGAGAATTAATGCAGCAGACAATCAATTCAGTTTCATCGCTCACCCACACAGCCAATAGTCTTACCAGTTTGGGATGTGGACAAAAAGAGAAAAGAGTAAGAGTCATGTATTAAAACTTCAGTTAATTTTCCTGGGTATGGGTAGAACAGGGACACACAAACTCAAAATCTCACTTGATTTTGCTATTTTTAAGATCCTTATCTCCCACCTTCCCACCAAGACATTCAAATTTGAGAGGAGACTTACTTAAGTGGCTGTTTCTGCTAGGATGGGCAATAATACAATTACTAATTTGTTTCACCCTTTGCTGAAGTGTTTCTCACTTTGTCACCACCTATTCACTGCCATTCTGGTTTCCTCAGTCCTCTAAAACTTGATCTTTAGGCAAGTTTTAATCATTCTCTTTACCAAACCAAAAGTAATTACCCCAAAGCTGAAGAGCACTTTGTCTGAATACATAAACGAAAAAGCAACAAATTAAAAAACAAAACCTCTTCTTTGCCTTTTTCCCTCATTACCTAATTTCTAAGTGACCTGTATATTTCTGAATGCTCTCCTTTTCCCTTCCCATTTTCTCCTCTTAAGCCTTGATACTGAAAGATACAGGAGATTTTTTTAAAGAAAATTGTCAGCATCACCAAGATTTCCATTTATGGTAAGTTGCTTTGATTTTGTTTGAGTTTTAAGAGATAAAGCCTATTTCCAGGATATTTTTTTTCCTGTGTTTTTTGACACTAATCAGAAAAATAAAACAACCCTGGGGTATTTGAAAAAAAAAAGTTTTATCTTGAAAAAATTCACAAATAATTTCCATAAATGCACTAAAAACCTTCTTTAAAATTATCAATATTTAAAGTAGAATCTGAGACAATTAAGTTATTTCAAAATATTTTCATTCAGGGAATGCTTGAGATCCCAAACTTGAAAAATCAACCCTTACCTATGTCAATGTTAGAACAAATATTTTGAAAAGAAAATTCATTGATCTATACCTTGTTTATTGCTTCAATATTTGCATGGTAAGAAAGCAGTTTTTCTGCCAATAAAATCCCTTTATTATACACAGCATAATGAAGGGCAGTGTTGCCGTACACATCTTGAATGTTTCGTTTGGCTCCATGTTCCAGCAGAAATATGGAACAAGTGTCTTCCTGGCAATGTGCAGCCTATTGGTATTAGTAAAAAAATTAGACTGTAAATTCTAAGCATTCAAAATACATATTCCACAGGTTTCACCAACTAGTTATATTTAAATTAGATAAATTTATTTCTATGTATTTAAATCAAATCCATTTCATGTTGAAAGAGTTGGCTACTATACACCTTCATTAAAGGTGTCCTGTTTAGTCTGTCACCGATGTCAATCTGGCATTTTCTGCTCAGTAAGAGACCTACCACTTCCACATGGCCACGGACACAGGCCAAATGTAGAGCAGCCCTATGAAAGTGAGAGGAGTTTTCAGGAAATTGTAATGCTGTATCTCAAAGCCTATAATGATTTGTGTCATTGTAAACATTGAATAGCA